TTGCTGCTAGCTGTGCCAATTTGGGGAATATATGCTGTTTTCCTACCCTTTGTAATCTTACTGGGAGGGATTACAACCATTTATAAAACAACTAGAGGCCCAGTGCACAAAATTCATGTACTCAGGGGGTCCCTCAGCCCGGCCTGTACCCTCTTGCAGTCTGGGAGTCCCTGGAGGAATATCCATCTATGGGACATTGATAGTGCTGCCACAGAGGTGGGAGAGGCTCCTGCCACCACTGTTGCACTCGCCAGCCGTGAGCCTGGCTTGTGGCTGAGTGGTGCTCCCCCTCTGGGAGCGCACTGATCACCAAGGGGCAGCACCTGCATTGAGCCCCCTGGTGGTCAGTGCACATCATAGTGAGCAGTTGAGCGGCCTTAGCATATCATTAGCATGTTACGCTTTGATTGGCTGAACGGATGACTGGATGACCAGACACTTGGCATATTAGGCCTTCATTATATAGGTTTGGTCTATCCCATTCCCAGACTCAATCTTCCTTCCAAACCCTTGCCAGACCTCCCAAGGTGAAACCTAAATTCTGTCTATTCCAGCCCAGTTTTAATGATGTCTCCCTATTTTTCCATGTCTATAAAATGATAGGTTTAAAAAAAATACAGTAAACAGGTGACATTAGGGAGAAAGAGGACTGTACTTGGAAATGTAACATGTGGGGGTAGATATACAAGGTCTGCCAATTAGAAGCTGTGCAACTTGCAGCGTATAATTTGTGTGGTGTTGTGGTTTAGAAGGAAATAGAGGAAATGGGAAAAAGAGGACTCTACTTGGAAATGTAACATGTGGGTAGATGTACGAGGTCTGCCAATTAGAAGCTGTGCAACTTGCAGTGTATAATTTTTGTGGTGTTGTGGTTTAGAAGGAAATAGAGGAAAGAAATGCTCAATAAGAATGGGTAAGTCTTATCTCAGCCTCAGTTTGCTCATCTGTAAAATGTGATAAAAATTCCTAACTCTGGGGCGAAGAGAGGGTGGTTGAGGGTGTTAGGAGATGAGATTATGTATGTGAAACACCAACATAGTTTTGGCAGGTCCTACTTCAGAAAGTGATTTCTTCTCCCTTTCCCTTTCTGAGAGGCTTGCGTATTGGTGCTGGGAAGCCAGACTTCTCCCGCGGTCTGTGGATGACATGATTAGTAATCCAAGCCCCCCACCTTGGTGGATTATACATTCTAGGAACTGTAGGGTTAACCTGGAAGAGTAACTGAGATAACACATGGTAAACTGAGTTTTATATGTTATGTTTAAAAATTAAAATATCCTCTCATAAGAATTCAGAAATCCAAATATAGAAAGCAGCAATTTTTTTTATGCAAGAAAATGCTATTCCTTGCATTTTTCATTATCTTATTTGACTAACTTAGCCTTCAGACTATAATCCCAAATACACAGGCAAGTTGTTTTTTTTAAAAAAATAAACAAGACAAAAAATCTAACAGAAGACATCTATTTTTAGCTTCCTGCTAAGCCATCCCTTGCTTGGCTGTAGTTATTCCAAAATTGGCCGTGGTTTAGTTTGTACAGTTCTAAGAGGGGGGGAAATAAACTTGTATAATGGATTTCTAAGTATGCACTACTAAATGTAATTCACTTTTAATGCAAGTTTAAGTGAAGCAGGCCATGCAGATATTTATCACCAACCATTTATAAAACAATTGGTCTATCCCATTCCCAGCCTCAACCTGCTGCTGACCTTGCTCAGGGTCCTGACACCCCACAGAGGGTAAGACAACCCCCCCTCCTCACCTCCCACCTGTCAGCCAGAGCCACCCATTGTCTGGCTGAGGGAGTCCTGGAAACCGGCCAGAGCTGTAGCCTGCGTGTGTGGTTTAGTTTTGTTTTGCTTTGAATGATCACACACTTTTTGACCTACACTCAGACAGAAGTTTTCTTTTATTTATTTAAAAGAGAAACCCCAGAAAGATGAGTTCTAGATGATTGCCTAATGTTATAAGAAATAAATTTAGGTGAATGATTATCATAGAATAGCATGGCTAAAGGAGAAAGAAATAAAGTAAGGAGTCAAGCATGTCCAACTTATTGAAAGAAATCCTCAAACATATTACCAATATAAACTTCATGCGTTGACACAAATTTAAAAAATTAAAAATCAGTTTGCTCTCCTGCCGGAAGCTACAGAGAAAAGAAAACAGTTTCCTTGGAGTAAGTCTGCAAGAGTTCAATGTTTTTCTTGGTGGTTAAGAAGAAAATCTGAAAATAAAAAGGCATATCATTTTGCCAAAAATTATATTTCTAGACTTTCAAAAGTATTAGTGAACAGCGACTCTAAAATTAACGTGTATATAAAATTTAATCACATCAAAGAATTCACACAGACTACTAGTAGTTTCTGTAGTCTCAGAAACGACCTCCTGCAGGTGATGGCAGCGTGCAAAGAGGCGTGTGGAGAACCACTTGTTTTTCCATAAACTCTGGTAAAAGGGCTCAGACAGGCGTAAGGCTGGATGTCAGGAAATGAGCTTAAGCAAAGGAAATGGGAGCTGTCTGGCTCAGGGAATCTGAGGAGGGCTTCTCCCAATGGGCACTCTTGTTTTGCTTCCCATGCTAAGTCAGGATACATGCGTTGCCTCCCACATGTACGAACCAGAAATCCCAAGGTGATAACATCTAGGAGGGCATTAGCCCCAAGCTTTTTCAAGTGAAAGCTGTTCACTTGCAACCTCGTGCCAGCTTCTCTTGATTTGGGCTGAAACCTGCAGGCAGAGGAAGGGAAAACAAACAGCAGGTTGAGCGCTGATGTGATGTGTTTTTACCGGATGGAAACTGAAGCTGGGACAATTCCCTGGCCGAGGAACTTCGGGTCCTTTGCCAGGATGCTCGCAGGCAGCCCAGTGCAGGGGTGCGTGATGGTGTGCAAGTGGGTGGCTTTAACCACCCCCCCATAATCTCATCCAAAATTAACATACAGCCTAATTTAAAACCGTTTGCTCAAATCTTCTGTACAAGTCCCATTACACTCCCACCACAACCACCAGAGAATGTTGTCTCTAACCCTTTCTATACAGAAATTTTGGAAATGTTTATAGGAAATTAGCCTCGGAAGACCAAAGAATACAGCTAACTCCCAGGGAG